ACACGATACAATCACCTGGGGAGTTCTGATGAAATCCCACTGCCTGAGCCCCACACCACACCAAAACCTAAAGTAGGGCCCAAGCTTGGATTTGTTTAACAGCTCTGCAGGAGATTCTAATGGAAGACGTAAATCTGCAAGCAAAAATTACAGCTCAATGTCTGGGGAGTAGAGGCTAGATGTATGCACATGATCCCAGAGAAACTTTTAGCAGGGAGTCGCTTGCCCAGCAAGTTTTCTTTGATGCTTATATATTCCTCCCTGCTTCATTAATCTTAGGAGGCACAAATCATGTTTTTCTAAACTGTCAATGCTTAGCACCATGTCTAACAAATAATAGATGCAGAAGTCTGTCAATGCAACAAGAAGTGAGCTGTATTTCTAGGATTAATCCTCCAACTCCTAGAAATCTCAACACAGTATGTGAGGACAGAACAGTAATTATACAGCTATCATCTCCGTAACAAACTCTCGTAAATGCACTTTTCCCTGAATATATTGCCCAAGCCTCAAGGCTAGACATAATGATTTCACACACCAGTTTCCAGGGGAAAAACTTTTGAATTAATTAAAAGAGACACTTGGGCACACTTCATGCCATTTTTTAATCTCCATTCTCCTGTGATAAATATTGAATAATAGAAATGGACCCAGGCTAACAAGCTGGAGGCAGGACCCTACAGAGGTTAGAGACACTGCAGCAGCTCCAGGGCTTAGAAAAAGAAGAAGGAAACCAGCACCCTACCTTGGCTGTGTCAGTGATGTGTTGCCAAACAATACTCCAAAGAATGCCCATTGGATATGGGCCCTCACTGTTCTTTGACTCATTTAAACAAAAGGTAAAAAGGAACTACCATGTTAGAAGTCAGAGAATAACAACAATTATGACTGACTGGGGGTTTTCTGGTGTCAGGCACTGTACTAAAGGCTTCTCAGTAAAAATTTCATGTAATTGTGGTAGCCAGCCTCCAAGACGGCTCCCAATGCTCCTTACCTGCTAGTACCAGCCTTATGTATTCCCAGTTACACTGAATCAACATTGACTCATGTGGCCAATAGAAAACCACAGATACAAGAGTCTGTGATTTCTGAGGTTAGATGTCATAACAGATATAAAGGTCTGTGACTTCTGAGGTTAGATGTCATCACCACTTACTTCCAACACGACCTCTTGGATCGCCTGCCTGGAAAGCCAGCACCATGTCAAGTGGATACTCATATAAACCTGTGGCGAGGCCCACATACAGAGGAATCCATGTGCCAGTCTTGCGACTGGGCCACCTTGAAGTCTATCTTCCCGCTCTCACCAAGCCTTTGGGTCTTCTAGCTGAAGCCCCAGACATCAAAGAACAGAGGAAATCCATTATTCCTGGGCCCTTTTTGAATTCCTGACCCTCAGAATCTATAATTGTTTCATTTGAGAGGGGGTCTCATTCTGTCACACAGGCTGGAGCGCAGTGGCACAATCATGGCTCACTAGAACCTCTGCCTCCCAGGATCAAGCCGTCTTCCTATGTCAGCCTCCCAAGTAGCTGGGACCACAGGAGCATGCCACCATGTTGGCTAATTTTTTTGTATTTTTGATACAGATGGGGTTTCCTCATGTTGCCCAGGCTGAGAGATAATTGTTTTAAAAATTAAGTTGTATAGTGTTTTTTTATGCAGCAAAACACCACTCATACCTAAGAGCTAGATACTTTTTTTTTTTTTTTTTTTGAGAGAAGGAAAGAAAAAAAAAGTAAAGGAGAGGAAGAAAGAGGAAGAAGAAGAGGGAGAGTAAATGGAAATATTGCTTTATTTTGAAAATAATTGGGTATTAATAATGGCCAATCAATACCAGGCCTGCTTTACAAGAGCTTCTGAAAGAAGCATTACACACAGAAAGAATCAACCAGTATTAGCCTTTCTAAAAATACACCAAAAAGTAAACAGCACCAACATAAAGAAGAATTTACACCAACGAATGGATAAAACAGCCAGTCAACATCAAATGGCAGTAGAGCTAGATACTTTTATATTTCAGTTGAGGAGAGTTTGACTGATTCAATCATGGAGATACTAAGTGAAGCAATGGGGTTGGGCATCCGGCTTGCCGATCTGAGGTCCTGCCCTCGTTCTGTCCCAACCAGAGAAGCATAAGGTATGGAACCTGTTTCCCATTCTTTTTATTAAGAGAAAGTAATCATTTCATAGGAATCTGTGAAGCACTTTGGTTATCCTCAAGATACTTTGTTCATCCTGCAGGAGACCCACATTCTGCCATGTATTTCAGTCATTCCTCTCTGGATAGATAAGAGGCTTCCTCACAGCACTCCTAAATAGCACACAGGTGGAGATAGCATGTTGTACTGATCCCATGGACTGTGCATCAACCTGCCCGTATTAGCATCTCCACCATTTTTAGGCTTGGTGATCTTGGATAAGTTAACTAAATTTCACAAGCCTCACAGATTTCTCACTATAATACTAGGGCCAATTTTAACACATGTATCTGTCCCACTGCACTAGAAAAATACTCATGGCTAGGCACAGTGGCTCACATATGTAATCCCAACATTTTGGGAGGCCAAGGTGGGAGAATTGTTTGAGCCCAGGAGTTCAAGACCAGCCTGAGCAATACAGTGAGAACTTATCTCTACAAAAAGTTTAAAAATTAGCCAAGCATGGTGGCATGCACCTGTGGTCCTAGCTACTTAGGAGTCTGAGGTGGGAGGATCACTTGAGCCCAGGAGGTCAAGACCAGCCTGGGCAACATGGTGAACCTTTTTTTCTACAAAAACTACAAAAATTAACCAAGCATGGTGGTGCACACCTATAGTCCCAGCTATTTGGGAGGCAGAGGTGGGAGGACTGCTTGAGCTCAGGAGGTCAAGGCTGCAGTGAGCCGTGATCTCATCATTGTTCTCCAGACTGATAGAGTGAGACTCTGTCTCAGAAAAAAAAAGGAAAAAATATTAATGAAGTACTTATCACATTGCCCAGCACATAGTGAATGTTCAATAAATGTTACCAATTTGTAATATTATCATCAAGTATGTGTTGAAAAACACCCATCATGTTAAATGGCCAATCAGAAGTTCTTCTCTTAGGCTTTCCTCATGTCAGAAAGACATGAAATAAGAGCAGTTCTTCAGAATGACAAGATCACTATGGAGGCACTGAAATTTTCAGCTGCCAGGCTAGCCAAGTGGCTAAAGCCTTGGCCATGGCTCCTGCTAGAGTCCAGCCTGTCCTGCTGGGGTGATGAGAGGATCTGGGAAGGCTGCCACATCATTCCACTGGGCAGTGGATCATGCATAGACAGTAATTTGGCTCTTTCCTACAAGAACAAGCAAAGAGGATCTCTCTCATCCTTGTGGTATTAACAGGGGTGTAGAGGCAGATTTGCTTCCTCCTGTCTCTGAATCCCATTACGTCCTTATCATTTTGTCAGTGCAGACAAAGCTCCTTAGCTCTAGCCAGTGTTCACTCCATTGCCTTCCTTTGGGGTTCACGCTCTGCTGGTCCTGGGGCTAAGAAGCTGCCACGAGTCTTACTGTTCCCTCAGGGGATTAGATTCTCACCTTCCCTTGAACTTAGCTTTATGACTCCTCCCTTTTTTCCCCTTAAACACGAGAAGGATTTCTGTGTAAAATTCTGTTTGGGGTCTAAAATATTTTATAACCTTTCATTTCTGGGTAAGACCAAGAAAAGGGAAATTAAGAGAAAGACCAGCCACATTCGCCCATCTCAAAATAAGCACAAATTTCTAGACTTACAAGGTGGTGGGTTAGGTTTCTGGGGAGATGTAAAAAGGAATCAAGATGCAAAGCTTGCCCTCAAGTGACACCCCTAAGTCCAATGGGGAAGATTAAAAAACAATATTAATCACTACAGTATAAAGTGCCATGATGGACGGCATGAGCAGCAGGGAGAGGGTCCAGGAGACCAGAGGAGAGAAAATGACAAAAGATAGGAACACAGGGAAGGCCTTCCAGAGCAGTCAGCCTCAGATGTGGGCCCTGAGGACAGGTGATCCTGACCCTAGGAGGTGGGGAAGGGCAGGGAACGTACTCCAGGCAGAAGGCATGGGAGGCAGGGAGCCAGGAAAGCATAAGGCAGCTATGGGAATGCTACGGATTTGTGTTCTTCTTACAGTTTAGAGACATTTTGTAAATAAGCAGGAACAGGAATACAAAAATTAAAGTAGTATAGTAGATAACATGCTGGCAAAGTTTAGCAATAAAAACTTTCAAGAAAGAGAAAACTAAAGGTTAATTTGCACATTATAGAGCAAATCAGTGACATGTGGACTTCATGACTAAGAGTAAGTAACATATTCATTTCTCAGTGATCATGAACCTAAAATCCCTAAGAGATTAGTGATGTATGTTTTCAAAGGAAGCCAGGCCGAGTGAAATGGTGGATTACTCTTCCCAACATGATAGGTAAGTTTCCTTCACTGAAAAATCTTTTGCTTGAACCATGAACTATCAAATCGAACACTTTCCAACTATTTGTTTTCCTGGTCTACTTTTACAAAGTTTTACCTAAAGTGAGAGGACACACATTACACGACGTAAGTCAGGTCTGTTACTTACCAGCAGAGTCATTTCATTGATACTCAAGAACCAATATGTATTCGCCAGACTGATTTCAAAGTAGAGTAAGTGTGTATCAGAGGTGAACATGATTATCGATAGGTCTATGGGTGTGTGCATCTTTGCGTGTTTTTCTATCCTCTGGCCCAAACTTAGAAAGCTCCTGCACAAAGTAAGCTCTCAAACAGAATTTCTGTGAATCAGAGTCCCCTTCTTTTTCTCCTAATTATAACCAACAAGCTAAATTAAAAAGAAAATCCAGACAGCATCATAAGCCATTAACTAATCTCAAATGGTGGGTATTGAAATAGGAAATAATCTCTGGTCAGTATTTGTGTCCTCCCAAGTCCAACAGACTCTCTGCATACAACACAAAACTGGAAGACATGGCCCTGTGCCAGGCTTCCTTAGCAGGCTTACCATATACCACATGCTTGGCCACTTGGGATCATTGAAATAGGTAGACTGGGCACGACTGAAGTCATAATCCCTCTTTGTCCGCTTTTTAACCACTTGCTGTTGGATCCATTCCACCTGCCAAGAAGGATATTTGGTGAGTATCCACGTTCCATCAGGGTTAGCACAACGTAAATGACAGTCTGAGGCATTTCCCATCTTAAGTCAATGCTATTTAAGTCACAGGTTTCATTGTGGCAACTAAAATCTCTAAGTTCTCAGAGATTCCTTAGAAACCCAGGGGTTTTTTATTTGTTTAATGTAAGTAGGTGTTTTGGTTTTTTATATGCAGATTATTTATATCTCTCCACAATAAGCTAACTTTTTAGCTTTCTCAGAAATCCTATTTTACTTCCAATTCACTACAAATTAGTAATGTTAATCTTTAGGGTAATTTTTCATCCTTACTTTATACTAAGGGCTAGCCAACTTTTTCTATAGAGATTCAAATAATAAACATTTTGGGCTTTGCAGGTCACATGATCTCTGATGCAATCACTCATTCTGCCATTACAGCACCGTAGATGATACGTAAATGAATGGGTGTGACTATGTTCCAATAAAACTTTATATACAAAACCAGGCTGGATTTTGTTCCGCATGCCACAGTTTATAATTCCTGACTTAGAGTATGCAATAATTTTTTAAAACATTCTGGGATCAAAATGCTCCAGGATCACAAATTTTTTAAAATGGCTTTCTACAACACAGTGTGGTAGAAAAGCACTGTTTGGAGAATTAGAAAAACCAAAGGCCTATCCTAAAACTGGCACAAAACTGGAGAAGCCACTCAATTTCCTGAGCCATAGGCTCCCCAACAGCTCTAAAATTCAAACACGCTAGATTTGAGAAAAGTCTTAACATTTAGTTATAAGCTTGTTTACACAAAGTAACCAGAAACTTTAAGTCTAATGCAGAATTTATAACCTAGTGGTAGGGGTATGTATGGGAACACTTTCTTTAAAACAGATTATCCTTAAAGCAACACAGAAATACACATGTTCCAGTTTTAGTGGGATGTCTCACATGCAGAATCAGTGTTGGTGACATTCTTCAATTTGTTCCTAAATACTCCTTTGATAGCTAACTTAGTCATAATGCTCTGAAATATTTTGTTCCACCATTTATCCCTCCTCTCTACAAAGGAATTAAAAAATGAGTGGGGAGGAAGGGAACTTTGTGGTCCACTGCTGGAATTCCATATCCAGCCAGTAAAGATTTTAAAACCTCTTTCACCTCCTCAATTAAAAGATTACTGGAGGAGAATGGCATCCTTCTTAATCAAAGTAAAACAGCAAGGATGGGCATGCATGTACATTTTTTATTTCCAGGAAACATTTTAACCCCTTCATTTCAAAAAAAAAATCTAAGGAATGAGGTTCATTCACTCATTTATTCATTCAACAAACATTAAGTGCTAGGTACTGTGTTAGAAATATAAAGATTATAAGAATTAAGAATTACTTCAAAGTAAGAACCTTTGAAGGACTTACACTTTACCAAAAAAATGTAACAAGTATTCCACAATTCTCCACTTCATAAAAATTACATTATATCCATAAATGACATCTGACACAGACCCTATCATTGTATTACTCAGACTATTTATATTACTGTCTATAAGTCTTATCCCAATAAAGTTAACTAGTTCATATTTGCATGTTTGGCAAAAGAAGACTGCTTACTTAGACAACTCTTTTCAAAACTAATCCTCTATTGGCAGTGACTTTCCTAAGGAAACATTCATAAATTCCAGACTGCAAACCTATATGTGTGCATAAACCAGAAAGTATCACGTCTTCCCCAGTGTGGACTCAATAAAGAGACTCCTAGACATCAGGACAGTCTATCCTAGGGTAGGGGTGAATAACTGTTCCTTAGAAAGACTCTATAAATATTCACTTCTCCCTGTGCACATATTCAAATAGACAAATGAAATAAGTATGTGAGAAAACCAAATGACAGCCATTTTCCTAGATGAACTATAGGTACTAAAATAGAAGAAAATATCTTACCCAACAGTATCCCTTCTATAATTTTACCAAACAAAATGCTTAGTTACAGGACTTGGTGGCTAGAGGGTGACACAGCAACTTGGCAGCTAGGTTTGACTACAAGTCACTCTGTCTGATCACAGGGCTGCAATACTCAAGAAAAGTTCAGGGGTTTTTTTTTAGTGTCAAATACCATGTATTTTGCCTTGGTGCCTTACGGGTATGAATATATAGCCCTGTATTTTTTGGAAAGTGGGAAAAGCACCTCTTGGATCGGAAGGCTTCTATGACTGGAAAGACCATATTTATATTTTTAAGCTATTATCCATATGTCTATCCTTGAGCTCTTTAAGGAAAAAGCCAGAGGTAATGCATTATACAGACTTTATTTCTTGCCAAGAAGCCTCATGCAAAGAAAAGACACTTTAACATTCATTTTCATAAAACTATGGTCAGCCTAGAAGGGAATTATTGTGTGCTTTGCCTCACTGGCTTAACTTTTAAAAGTTCTATTTCCAATACATTAAGGAACTACAGTTAATCCAGAGCATAAAAGCTATAGGACCTTTCAAATCGTCAGTCCATCCTTCGTTAACTTAAGCATACATATGCTACATGGTTTCATGGACACACTCTCCCTCTACTCACAGTGATCACTTGTAAACATTGTGCATTTGCTGCTTAAGAACCTTCATCTGAAAATGTCCTCCTTCATAAGATCCAAAACACATTAACTGACAATTATGGGAAGACTGCCCTCATAATGTCAGCTGAACTTGTATCTCATTATTTTGGAATTTACCAGCTTTCTGATACTACATGTGAGGACAACAACAGGAGGGAAAAAAAATGTAATCATATAAATATAAATTATATGTTATTACATAAATATAAGTGGAAATAAATTATGCTGTTGCTTTAAAAATGCATCCTGCAGTGACAGGAGATCAGCCCTTTAGATATTAAAAACTATCATGCTAATAATTAAAACATATACTAGTACCAAATGTCTACAGATATACCAATGAAATAGCATAGAAAGTCAAGAAATTGCCCCAAAACATGTAAGAATAGAGTATATGATAATGGTATTATCCTAAATCAGTAGAGAAAAAACAAATTGCTTCGTAAATGTTTTAGAATATGTTGGTTGGAACAATAACCAACTGGAAAAAATGAAGTTGAAGCCATTTCTCATGTCTTAGATCAGAATCAATTTCAAATGAATCAAATATTTAAATGTAAAGGTACCATAAGAAATATGAGAGATGTTTAAAACTAATCTCAGAGTGAAAGATTGTATTAAGTATCATACAAGTCAAAGAGATGATTTAGAAAAATTGACTAATTTAACGACATAAAAACAATGTAAACGACATGGCCAAAAAAAAAAAAAAAAATCACAGGGAAGGTAAATGACAAACTGGGCAAAGGTGTGTATGTAGCTCCTACCGTGAACAAAAGACTATCTTCCTAATATATAGTTTCAACAATTAATAAGAGAACAATTCACTAGGAAAAGTAGCAAAAAACAGAGGTAGCAAAACCTCTGGAAAGGTAAATCAGGTTCTTTTTTTTTTTCTGAGATGGAGTTTCGCTCTTGTTACCCAGGCTGGAGTGCAATGGCATGATCTCGGCTCACCGCAACCTCCAACTCCTGGGTTCAACCAATTCTTCTGCCTCAGCCTCCCGAGTAGCTGGGGCTACATGCGCATGCCACCATGCCAAGCTAATTTTTGTATTTTTAGTAGAGACAGCATTTCACCATGTTGACCAGGATGGTCTCAATCTCTTAATCTCGTGATCCACCTGCCTCGGCCTCCCAAAGTGCTGGGATTATAGGTGTGAGCCACCACACCTGGCCTAAATCAGGTTCTTAAACATACAAAATACACTTAGCCTCATGCATATTCAGACAAAAGCAAATAAAACTAAACTGAGATACCAGTTTTTACCTTTCAGACACAAACAATCTAAAGGTTGATAACACACTGCTGGGGGGGCATGGGAAAAGGCTCATTCTCACATAATAGTGAGGGGAATGGAAATGTGTACAACTCTATGAAGGGTAATTGGACAATTCCTTAACAAAGGACAAAAGAAGTAATTCTTATTTTAGGAGTTTATTCTTCCTATTTACACATATGAATGTGTGAGGTTATTTACTAAAACACTGCCAGTAAGAACTAAAAATTGTAAACTTAAATAAATAACATATCTGTACGATGGAGTAAAGTAAAATACAACCATAAAAGAAAATGAAATGGTCTTAATGTACAAAGAACCATCTCCATGATACAGTTAAAGTGGAAAAAAAAAAGTTACAAATGGTTTAAAGGGATACTACATTTTTGGCAACTTTCTAAATCTGATAAACTGGTTGCTTTCTGGGGAGAAAACTAGTTACTGGATATAGGGATAAGAGGGAGACCTTTTACTGCATGTCCTTTTAAATCTTGTTACTTTGGAACCATGGGAATATATTACCTATACAAACTATCATACACTCAAAGAACAATTTCAAATATGACTTAGGCTGGGCCCAGTGGCTCACACCTATAATCTCAGCACTTTGAGAGGCTGAGGCAGGAGGATGGTTTATGCCCAAGAGTTCAAGACCAGCCCAGACAATACAGCAAGACACCCACCTTTGCAAAAAAAAATGTTTAAAAAATAACCAGGTATGGGGACATGGGCCTGTAGTCGCAGCTACTCAGGAAGCTGAGGTGGAAAGATCACTTGAGCTCAGGAGTTTGAGGCTGCAGTGAGTCATAATCAAGCTACTGCCCTCCTGCCTGGGTGGTGAAGCAAGACCCTGTTGCTAAAAAAAGACTAAATGTCTAAATCACAACATATTTCTTTAAAAGGCAGTTAATGAGAAATAATGGTACATAAAAGTGCCTTAGGTGATTTTATGTTATATTCCAAAATGACTTAAATATCGAGAAAAGTTGGGTAAAGTAAGAAAAACAAGTTGGAATTAGAAGAGCTCAGTTATTACCTTAGATTAGCTACCAGTCACCTATTTGATCTTGCAAAAATCTCTGTGGGCCTCTTTCATCTGTAAAATGAGGAAAGGCAGAC